ATTTCCCTTTGTTAATCAAAAACGTTTGCTCTTGTTTGACCTATCTAAGCCCACGGACCTTTGTGTAAGATCGGATAGAAGGCTAAATTTTAGATGCTCTACCGCGGAGGCACAACCGTTCAACGTTATACTATATACTGTCATATTCCACGTATAGTTCTCGTTACAATGCCCTTGTCGTTAACCTATATATCAGGAGACGTAAAACAAGGACAAAAACAACAACATATATCGTCAAAATCGCTGAGCAACCGACAGTTCAGTGCATATGGTGGGCATGTATACTGCCATATTGACCCTTCACTCTGATGTTTATCTGTACATGTACTTTGGACGATATAATTTCTGATGCAAACGACAAGGCAATGCTTTGTTACATATACAGTAAAATGAATCATCTGAACACAACATTTTAGGAATAGATAGAAAATACAAGAAATTACGATGTTAGGGTATCGGTAACGTGCAACCGTGTGGTAATGATAGCTAACGTGTACTTTTAGAAAACCCTTCAAGTACTTATATCACCAGTCTTCAGACAGAACAGAAGACCAAACAATACAAGTAAGCTACATAATCTGACAGTCAATGTCCAGCACATACAGTGTTTTGTGGTTTAACAGGAGCAATATAAAAGCGCAATTTACTTACCAAATTCCCAAGTCGCCACAACAATGTCGTCAATATACAACTGTAAACTTGATATGTCACCTACGCGTGGATAATACGAATAGCGTGTGGATGTTGTACGTACTCAACCGTGTCTACTCGTGAAACCCTACATAGACTGGCTACTTACCCTTGCATGTCACTCAGAGAGTGGAACATTAAGAGTTTCCCTGCGTTCAATGATCACTGAGAACCAAGGGCCGATCCCTCTTTTGTGCTAGTGTATATCTGATGGGTTAATAATTGACACACATGTTTAATTGAATATGGAAGGATACCTACTCCATATTTGTCTAATGATTGGCGCAGATACAAGCTGTGGTAGCACATTCATTTTATATCGCCAGAGGGAGTCGCTAATCAAAGCTCACCACTTTTATAACTAGAACTTCACAGTATTTCACCTAGAACTCCAGTTCAAAGTCCAGTCTTCTCATGTCACAACCCTGTCCTGAATATATTAGCATTGTTTCTTCCCTATAGTTGTAAAATGTTCAACTGGTTTGGCCAAGTGAAGTTGTTGTTCATTTTGTTCGATCCACACACATGAAACAATATGGCGCACTGACGAATGAGCGAATGTTCCGTCTTGAGAATACTGAGCAGAAATAACGCTTGTCTCCATTTGGTACGGGAGAGTTAAGGCCCCAGGTTTGAACAACAAAAAGGTCAATCAACTTTACAGATCCAGGTTTATGCCTACTTGGCATGACCTCCATCTTCTGCATTCCAAAACTTTAAATCCGACATTTGTTATTGTTTAATATCCTGTCATTTCCATTGTCCTTTGCAGAACGTTAACCATTCCGTTCATCCATTATAGATTGCTTGACGATGGCTCCGGGGGCTCCAAAGGACGAGATGCAAACAGTAAATCACGGCACAGGCGACTGTTCAGAAACACGCCCCCTACTGGAGAGGGACGGCAATGACAACCGATCTACCATCTGGCGAGCCCCTGTTGAACCCCTCACCGCACTTGTCCTTCTCGTTAGCTTCTTTCAGGATAACGTGTATGACCAGTACTACTACTATCAGTGCAAGAGATATAACGTGACGTTCTCGTTTGGTTCAAATGCCTCTAACTGTGATAATACTACAACTCACGGTGGAACATGACAATCAAGTGATGGCACAAGCTCAGGCCGCCAGAATGTCATTATATCACGACGTGGCACTCTACTCAAGAGTGTGTCTCCTCCATCTTGGAGCTTGAATGTTGAGTGATCGGAGCCGCCGGAGAAAGATCTTCACAGGCATGCTCAAGGCTGCCGTATACATGTATCTGCTTTTCATATCCCTCAATTTACCATTTGACTCATTTTTGCTTCCCGGTGTTGTCCCCTGTGGCTCCTTATGCTACCTATTTTCTGCTATTGCCGGTATGTATGCCTATATCGCTGATACGACCTCTCCACACCAGCGCACGTATCGTCTGGCGGTACTGTACATGTGCGAAGGGTTAGGAGCAGGTGCGGCGTACTTTCTCTCTGGCTATTGGCTCTATCGACAAAGATCGTTTACCAATCCAGTCTGGCTAGTCGGTCTCTGCTTCTTTTATTCCGCTTTCTTAGTTCGAAATAACCCTTATGCGAAAGAAACTGGCCGCATTTCTGCACCCATCTCCGTAAACTAAAACTTAATTGGAGGATTGTTCAAAGCAAAGTCCACGACAACCACTGGATAGCACAGATAGGGATGACCTCCGAGTGTACTTAGATGTTTCCTGATGGCGTTTGCTCCATATCTTCCTAACAGAAACATAATTCTCTATTTTGGTGAGTATAAATATACCAATCGTTGAGTATAAATGTCTTTCAAGTTAAAGCAACACTATTACATATGTCTTCTTATTAGGATGTGTTAAAAAAATATATGTACGGCTGAATAAAATCTTGGTTGTGTAGAAAGAGTCTCTTTACTCATACTAGTATATGAATGCAGTTATGCACAATACACTTTAAGTGATCGATGATAAATGACAACAAAATAATTCACAGGTTGCCATACCAGGCATTTGTCATTGGCGCGAAGTTTGACTGGCTAAAATCATTGAAGTTGATAAGAAATTCAGCAAAGATGAAGCATTAAAGTGTCCGCGTACAATTACTAGTAACCGTTCTTTATTTCCATTTCATCTAGATTTCTACACTGCCATGTGAAGGTGTCCGGTGAGACCAGTGTTAAAGAGCCGAAGGTCAACTGAAAACATAAGTAATATGAAATGAAAATTCCAACTTTCAAAGCAAACAATTAATGGAATGTTGTGAGGGTGAAATGTCCTGTTGAACAGACAGATAAGTACTGCACACGCTTTCCTGTGGAATATAAGATTCTACTAAAGCCTAGCTGGCATTGACTTTGTTTCTTGTTAGTTCGGTTGTTTCTCTTTATTTACATGTAGTCCTGCTTCGCTGACAGGAGTCATGAAAAGGTGAGCATGAGAAGACTGGCGACAGTTAATCAATGACGTTTTCACTCGAAAAGAGTCACGTGCACTGCGAGATGCGGTACAATGATGTCTTCTTTGCTTAGTGTTGGTTTATATATCGGTAAATGTGTTCTCAACGAATTGACTAAG